AGATGTGACGGAGCTGTGAGCGGATCAGCTGATGCTTCTGAGACCATATAAACACGCATCGAGACACTGACCTCAATACAGACTGTTCGCTCCATGATGATCAGCTCAAACACACTGGATAATCATACAGTCAAATCCAGTCCAGTGAAGATATAGCTTTAAAACTATGACTTCTCCAAAATGGGCTCAGATCAAAAGGCATCTTTAAATGATTAGATCACTAAACTATAAGAACTGGCTGAAGATGTGTTCACCCTCAGTTCATCCGAGATTAGGATGAGTTTGTTTCTTCATCAGATTTGTAGAAATGTAGCATTGCATCAGTGTCTCAGCAATGGATGCTCTGCAGTGAATGGGTGCCGTCAGAATGAGAGTCCAAACAGCTGATAAAAACATCACAATAATCCACAAGTAATCCACAGCACTCCAGTCCATCAGTTAACATCTGGAGAACAAAAAAGCTGAAACTAATCCAGTATTAAGATGCTTTTAACTAAAGTTCATAATTCATAATAACGCTTCCTCCAGTGAAAAATTGCATCTGCTGTTGTCTCTCACATCAAAATCCAGCCACATATTTGTTTAGAGCTGTTTAAACGCTGCTTGATCTGTGCAGATTTCTCTCCTGATTCACACCAGAACACTTTTTCACTGGAGAAAGAGTTATTATGGATTATGGACTCATAATTTAGTTAAAAATGTCTTAATGCTGGATGTGTCTCAGTTTTTGTCTTCTCCAGATGTTAACTGATACCTGATGAAGAAACAAACTCATCCTGATCTCGGATGAACTGAGGGTGAGCACATTTTCAATTTTGGCCGAACTATTCCTTTAATGTGAAGCTGGAAACATGACGTACAGTAGCACCCAAATAAAGCAGGATTGACTCTCTTGATCTCTGGATGAGGGATGGTAAGATTCACGATTCACTCGGTGCATCGGCGTAAAAGCACCGGATACAAGTTGGCATTTATATCACGATGCATCGTTTCTAACATATTTGCATTGCGGTAAAAACTATTAATAAAGTGAACAATATTTGATTTCTCCTCTCTAAACTGTCTCTTATCACCACTGCCGACGCATCACAACAACACTACGAAGACCGAGGCATGTCCTGACACGGCTGTCTGTCTGAACCAAAGAAATAAAAGCAAACTATCTGAAGTGCATAGCATCATTTTTTCCCCAATGCATCGTATTGCATTGTGTCGAATCGAATCGAAATCGGATCGCACTGCATCGTAATAGTATCGCATCGCATCGATAGCTGCTTCATATGTAATCTGTAATCTGTTATCTCTAATCTGGATGGACGTGATCCTCACATCTTCTAACAGTCGGACTCCATCGATGTTTGCTAAAGCATATCACAGCGGGTCCGACTGCTATTTCCAGCACAAAACGGCCTGGAACGATTGTGACCTGCTGTGCTCATTGAGCAGCACTTAACTCTAACGATTCTTTAATTGTCTCTATACTAATGACACAGAACTCTTTACTCCTGCTCTGATGCACATGAGACATCACGATATCAGCCGTTACTCTATAAACCCACAAACACACAGTGTGCAGCACATTACGCTACTTCCTTTAAGCGGAATGTGTAAAAATAAAAACAGTCATTTCAAAATTAAACTATTGTTTTGTCTTCAAATGCTGACAATCCAAGATTTGGTGATAATATGGCATAACGAGAGCTTTACACGCTATTTTTAAAACATCGCTCATTTTTGACTGAGAACACCACTTTGGTAAAGGATTTTCAGCAGCACAAGGGTTAATATAGTTTGCACAGAAGCAGATATAGTGTATGAGTGACTAGTTTCACCATCTGGGTGGAAAACGCTTGCCTCTAAAGTCAGACAGAAGCTCAGGCTCTGCATTCTGTGATTAGGAATTAAAACATGCGTGTTGAACGTTCAGCGCTGACTTACACAATCAAACAGGAACGTTAACGAACTTAAAACCAACATGTTATTTCAAATAATCTGAAATATGTAGTAGCATCTAAATGACTGAACCTGAGCTAGGGCTGGGCGATTAAATAAACTTTATTTTTTTTATTATGATTTTGGCTTATGAAAACAAGATAAACAAGATAATTGAGATTAAAATATTGTTTTATTTATTTTATTTTATTTTAATGTGTGTGTGTGTGTGTATTATATATAATGTTTACATTTATTTTTATAGTTTTTTTTCTGTTTAATTGCATTGAAAATTCAAGGAAATCCACGATTAAAAAAAGTTCAATACATGCATCATGCCTCCAAAGTCCGTGAATAATGGTGGTAAATAATCATGCTCTCAATACTGACCAAAATAACTTTTGCCATAATCTAAACTGAGCTCATCAGGTCACTGCAGGGTCAGATCAGGTAGAAACAGCTCCTTACTGCTGTGTCATGACACATCTATGGCTGCCAAACATTATCATAATCATAACACTGAGAGGATCTGCACATCTCAGACCGCTGCTGTTGTGATTAATTACCGGAATCAGGCCATTATTAATGACAACGAAGAACAGACACACACACTTACTATAACGCACTCACACACACACACACACACACACACACACACTTACTATAACGCACTCTCACACACACACACACACTTACTATAACGCACTCACACACACACACACACACACACACACACACTTACTATAACGCACTCTCACACACACACACACACACTTACTATAACGCACTCTCACACACACACACACACACTTACTATAACGCACTCTCACACACACACACACACACTTACTATAACGCACTCTCACACACACACACACACACTTACTATAACGCACTCTCACACACACACACACACACTTACTATAACTCTCTCACACACACACACACACACACACACACACACACACTCACACTCACACTCACACACACACTATAACACACTAATACGTTTCTAATATTTAAATCCGTTAAAGGATTGTTAGGCTGCATTAATTAGGACAACCAGAACCAGGAACACTTCCCATAACACCCGATGTACTAGGGGTGGGCGATATGGAAAAAATATCATATCACAAATGTTTTTTTTAGAAATACCACGATTCACGGTTTTATCACGATTCTTTGTCATGTTGGTTTTACTATTTTACTATTTTGTTACTAAGTTGTCTGAGCAGTACAGCTAAACTAATTTCCCTATTATAAAAACAAAGCCAAAGCTAACAAAAAATACATAAATAAATAAAGAATGGCGGATATTTAGGCCAAAGTGGGCGAAGATAAAAATCTTTGACGTTATTTTATCTTTGTTATTAAAAAATAAGAACAAAGATACACATTACAAACACATAATATACAAATAAAACAAACAGTGTTTTATTTTTCTGGTACAATAAGTGTATTTATCGGGAGCATTCAAGAAATTGAATGAAAAATATAAAAATAAAACACTATATAGATTGATTCCTATTAAAGCAACTGTATTAAAGTTTTCAGTCAAGAATAGTGAGTGATTTTTCTCTGCGTTTTGTTGTTTTATTAACATTAAAGGTATAATAATTCTGTCATCTGTCTGTCAAGGTTTTATTGTTATACCATCATTTACTCACTCCAAAGTTGTTTTAAACCTGAACGAGTTTCTTTCTTCTGCTGAACATAAATGCGATTTTGAAGAACGTGGAAAACCAAACAGTGACTTCCATAGTATTTTTTCCTGTTATCAAAGTCAATGTGGACCAGCAGCTGTTTGGTTACCAACGTTCTTCAAAAAATTCAGTGTGATCCAGCTACTGTTTGGTTACCCACATTCTTCAAAATATATTCTTTTGTGTTCAGCACAAGAAAGAAATTAATAAAGGTTTGGGATAACATGTGAGTGAGTAAATAATGACAGAAATTAAATTTTAGGGTGAACTATCCCTTTAATGACAGTCGGCTGCATGTTTAGTCTCCTGTCCCTTTAAGAGCTGCACGCATCCGTTTCTCTCTCAACTGTTTACTTTTATTTTAGACATAACTGAGTCTATATGTAAACCTTGTGTGTTCTGACAGTATTAGCGCAAAACATAACTTAGTTCAGTAATCAGGCGCTGTTTGACAGGCTTTTTAGTGTGCGCGCTTCAGGTGTATGCACTCAGAAAAAGCGCACATCAGACCAACGCGTGAATAAAACATTTAACCAGCAAGGCTTTAAAGCACGTGCAAATAATGTACTTTTGTGATTGTGAATAAGTGCAGTGTCCTGTGAGAATAACTCTACCGCTGACAGCGGCGCCAGAACTGCAGCTGATTGAATGTGCGCTGTAGCGCGATACTACGATATTTCTTCAAAAGCAGATCATGGAGACATTTTTATAGTCCACGATCAAAAACCGTCATATCGCACAGCCCTACGATGTACTTGCTACATCGTTAGAAGAATGGCATCTACGCTAATATTAGTCTGTTTCTCTCTTATTCCGAGGTCACCGTAGCCACCAGATCCAGTCCGTATTCAGATCAGATGGTGGATCAGCACCTAGAGAGGACCTCTACAGCCCTGAATGTCAGCGGAGACCAGGACAACTAGATGAGCCCCAGATACAGATCCCCAGTGATGAGCTTGTCTCCTAGACGGCCACCGGGACAAGACCACAGGAACCAGATGAGTCCTCTGCACAATGTGACTTTGCTGCAGCCTGGAATTGAACTGCTGGTTTCGTCTGGTCAGAGGAGACACTCTCTCTCACACACACACACACACACACACACACACACTCTCACTCACACACACACACACACACACACACGCATCATTTCTACTCTCATGAATCCATCATGCGCGTACCCGAGCCGCGTTCAGCACCGAGGACAGCGACGCACCTCAGGCCGCGGCGGGACGCGTCGAGAATCCGCTGGAACGGTGAAGTTGCAGCCCTGTTCTGAAGCGTTACGCCGCGTTACAAGCGCCGAATCGCGTCCAATCGCGCGGCTGCTTGTTGCTGGGAAAGACTGGGAAGAAGATCGCTCACCTGCTGCGGCGGGAAGCGCGTCACATTCCTGTCAGCGGTGCGCTCCGCTCCTGCGGGAACGCTGCGGAGGGAAAACGGTGTTATGTGGTTGTCGGTGTCATGTTATTCTCCGGGACTGATGCTGGAGACTGCGCGCTACATCCGGGCTGCTGGGAATCACGGCACCTGACACCGAGCGGCTCGCGCTACTATGGCGAAGGCGTCAACATAAATATTCATGAGCCAGGCGTTCGCTATTGGACGAGAGCAGCGCGACGTCACTACCGACCACTTACAATTCAATACGTAAGACTTTTCACTGGAGGGTTAGAACGTAACGTCAACATTGTCTTATGAATTAATAATCACAAACGAAGCGTTCACTTGTATTCATTTAACCTATGATTATACAAAATTACAAAAAAGTAAAATATTCTGTTTTAGTTTTTTCTATCTGTCTGCATCTATATATCATTCGACATACTATAGTATGACAACCGAAGAACTAAGAACTAAAAAAAAAAACATTCTATAACTATTCAGAATAATGGAAAGTCTGTATTATCTAATATTTTTAAAACCGCAGAACTACAGGGAAATTGTAGAAACATATTAAAAGCGTTTCATTCTGAGAGAAAATTCAAATAATAAGTCTCAATATATCCGCAAAACACAACCATAATTTTGACACAACACAAATGTTGAGAATTTGTATGTTTTTAAAACATTCAAGGCAATGTCTTTGCTTCACTAAGCTGCTGTGGTTAGCGTAATTAATATTCAGGCAAATAAGCCATCGCCATTGGACGGTAACAAGGCAACGTTGCATTATGTAATTAATATTCGTGAAGTAGGCCTAAAGCCATTGGAAGCTGACCAGTGAACGTCGGCACGCTCTAATTAATATTCATGAGCGAGGTCTTCACCATGGTAAGGTTTGTAACGTCGAACCGGGCGCTTCGACGCGAATCATAACGTGTTCAATGCCAGATAATAAATAATCTCTCAGAGCTTCAACACGTCACACATTCGTATTCGCCACGTCGTAAAAACGCCGTTTTTGGGATTCTGGGATCATAAACTCTGACACACGGTACCGGTACCGGGTCCAAACATCGCGATCGCCGTCAGCGTTCAGACGCGTCAGATCCGGGCTTAACGGCGCGAGATTCTATAAACACCGATGACACGTGACGCGACGCTCAATAGCAGTTACGTGCTTGACGTCACGACACTCAACGACGTCATGATGTCATTTATGGATGGGTTTCCGCGAGTTCTCCAGCCCTTTACTGTAAATCATTTTATACAAATATTTTGTTGTTATAATGAATATTTCGTTTGCGGGCCTGAAAATCACACTTTTAAAATCTCTGATTACTGCTGTTTTGATTTCAGAAACAGTATCATAGCTATTAAACTATATTGTGTGTTAGTTTTAAATCTGTATTTAACCTCAGAACGATCTCAAAGTAAAAGAGCTGCTAAAGACTGATATTGTGGCGGCTGTGCTTTAAAATTAAACTATTATCATCTTAATTAAAGTGAAGAAGGATTTTGAGAAGTCTGACAGTAATCAGTGTTGAGTTCTGTTAGGTTATTCCTGCCTGCTTTACATCTGCAGCACAAAAGCAGTCTTAAGTCGCTGGGGTATATTTGTAGCAATAGCCAACAATACATTGTATGGGTCAAAATTATACATTTTTCTTTTATGCCAAAAATCATTAGGATATTAAGTAAAGATCATGTTCCATGAAGATATTTTGTAAATCTCCTACCGTAAATATATCAAAACTTAATTTTTGATTAGTAATATGCATTGCTAAGAACTTCATTTGAACAACTTTAAAGATGATTTTCTCAATATTTAGATTTTTTTGCACCCTCAGATTCCAGATTTTCAAATAGTTGTATCTCAGCCAAATATTGTCCTATCCTAACAAACCACACATCAATGGAAAGCTTATTTATTCAGAAATTTTTCATTCAAAATTTGACTCATGACTCATCCAGGGGCTGATATGGCAGTGTGGTCAAAACAACAACAAAACTACATTCAAAGAGAAAACGAGCTTATTTTTCTGACCCTGTTGGCATATTCTTTATGTTTCAAGCATATAAACTTCATTGTGACACATTTCTCAGAAAACAGGACTTCATATCTTTATGTGCATCTCCAGTAAATGTGTCTTGTATGAATGTTTAGATACTTGCGCTGGAAGACAAGAGCAGCACTTTCTGCGTAAATCTGGACTCATGACGGTGTAACAGCATCATCTCCTCAAACTGCTGGTTACCGTGGAAACCGCTGCAACAGTGACCAGTGTGTTTGTGAGAATCTAATCACTCACACGACTGCATCGAGACCAATGAAGAAAACTGCTACAAACTTTCAAACGGATTATTTTCTATTTTCAGTAATTATATGAGCTACAGGTTAAAACTGACTGTAGAACAAGTGTTTGACTAGTAAATAAAGAGTTAGTGAATGTCAGGCAAATAAAGCAAGCAGAGGCATCAGCTCGGTCAATCTCATCTTCTATGATCTGGTTTATAAGCATTAAACAGTAAAGAATATATAAACTTGTTTTCCTTTAAATAAAGCTTATTTTCTTACCACACTGGCAGATATTTGTTCTTGTTTTAAGCATAAAGTCGCTTCATTTTCAAGCATTTTTCAGAAAACATAACTATATATTTTAAGTTATGTTGCATGAGGATGGTTGCATGTATGAGGAGACGGAGATCCTCGTGGTTCTGCTGCTCATCGACAGGTACTGTGCTCCTCAGCTTCACTTCTAAACGCTGGAAGAGCCAGGAATGTCACTAATATTGACCGGAGTTGATGTGTTGTGATGTTGTAGATGTACAGCAGTTTTGCGTTTGCTGTTCATCAAGACTCTTGACTATCACTGTTTGACCCTCAGTTCTTAAATACTGACACTTTCAGCAGTCAGATCACTATTTAGTACCGGATTAGAACGATGATCAGCTGTTTACATGTAACTTTAGTGCAAGAATAAATATGTGAAAGAATTAAAATAACTGAAAAATATTAAAAGAAATACACTAATGGTCAAAATGTAAAATAGAATCGATTGCTGTGATCAAAGCTGAATTTTCAGCATCATTAAAGAGTTTCTGTCAAATAAATGCTGATCCTTTGAACTTTCTGTTCATCTGTGAATCCTGAAAAATAAAATGTGATGCCACGATTATAAATGAGAGTGACACCTGGTTAACATGTATTAAAAGGGGTCGTGTTTAGTCACTATTTAGTGTGGTATTCTTTGACAATATTCACTCATGACAGTAAAATAGGGCATTCTAAGCCAATATACTGCAGTATTTCCTCTCAATCAGTAGAACATATGGTTAACACCCGGTCATGCATGAAAAAAAAATACCGTCATGTACCGTGAAACCGGTATAATTTTGAAAAATACCGTGATATACATTTTTGGTCATACTGCCCAGCACTAATCCAACCAATCCCTCCAGTTCAGCTGAGCTGGCCTGCTCAACTACCCACCCCGGCGGGTTACCTGCCGTCTCCAGTGGCTCCGGCGTGGCACGGTAATCCCGGTCAGGGGTCCGCAGGAGGAGCGCCGCAGCCGTGGCCCCGGTGCCAGCCATCGCTCCTGTAGTAAGAGACTGAAGCTGCACTATACCACACACATCCATCAGTGCAATAATAAAACACAGCTAAAGTGCTTCCATCGTTTCGAGTCGAGTCGAGCTTTATTGTCATTCTGCTACATATAGTGGAACGAAGTGTCGTGTCAGGACCACGGTGCTACATACTAGTTTAACACAAATATAAACGTACAACAATAGAAGTATAAGAAAAACAACTGTAGACCTACACTGCAAAAAATCATTCTCTTACTCAGTATTTCTGTCTTGTTTTCTAGTATAAATATATAAACATTCTTGAATCAAGATGCATTTACTGTACAAGTCTTGTTTTCTAAAAAAAAAATAAAAAAAAGTATCAATTTTTATCACAAAACAAAAATATCTGCCAATGGGGTAAGAAAAATAATCTTAATTCAAAGGCTAAACAAGATTATTTTTCTTGCCCCACTGGCAGATATTTTTTGCTTGTTTTAAGCAAAAACTAACAAATTTGTTTAAATATTTTTTTCAGAAAACAAGACATAATATCTTAAGTCATTTTACTTGCAAAATAAATGCACATTGATTCAATAATTTTTAGATTTTTATACTAGAACACAAGACAAAAATACTACATAAGAAAATAATTTTTGCAGTGTATACAACAGTTGACCATCTGACTATACATATAAATAGTTGACTATACATGCACATAAACTGAGACAGTACACGAACTTTACATAAATACTGTTCATGAAATTGTGCAAAAGAGATATTTTGGGGGAAGCAGCGCATAGTGCAAGATGATTCGTAGTGCAGTGCACAAGTAAACATATGTGATCATATTGAGTCTTTGTAGCAGGGAGTGTTTATAAAAAGTGTCTGTATGCACACTAGAAACACTCAATATGATAACATATGTTTACTTGTGCACTGCACTACAAAAGACTTCCATTAATATGCATTTGAATGTGAGAGACGGCAAAAGTTCTAGTTTGGTGAACTGGTGAATTAATATTTTGTAAAGACATGTTACTAGAAGATTTATTCATTGAAAAAAAGTGAGCAGACTCTACAGTATTTCAGCACTAATTGATTGTGTGGAATCTAATCAAATCAGACAGATGAAACATGGACAGGCTGATTCTCAAAAAACACCAACTAAACCACAGAAGATAAAAGAAAATCTCACATGAATCACTGCAGTGATGAATTACAAACTCTATTGTGTGCATGACTGCAAGATCCTGAGTCAAATCCAGTTGAGAAGCTCTGCTCAGTGTGTTCATATTCTGTGATGTTCCTGAGCCTATCGATGGTTTCTGTTTTTCAGGTTCCTTTCGAGATGAATTTTCCTCGCGGCGTCTACGACAAGCTCATGCTGACCATCAGAGGACAGATGCAACCAGATGCCAAGATGTAAGTGCAGACCTCGTTTTTCATGTATTTATGTGAATAGATCACTATTTAGTACCAGATTAGAATGATGATCAGCTGTTTACATGTAACTTTAGTGCAAGAAAGAATTAAAATAACTGAAAAATATTAAAAGATATACACTAATGGTCAAAATGTGAATATCTGTTCAAATATAATTGATTGCTGTGATGAAAGCTGAATTTTGAAGAGTTTTAAAACTGAAAAGAGTTTTAGGTTGAAAACATTTTGTGCATCAAGGATGCATTAAATTAAGCAAAAATGCCAGTAAAGACATTTATAATGTTACAGTAGATTTCTATTTTAAATAAATGCTGTTCTTCTGAACTTTCTATTTATGTGATTCCTGAAAAATAAAAAATTGATCAGTTTCCACATAAATATTGTGCAGCACAACTGTTTTCAACATTGATAATAATCAGAAATGTTCCCTGAGCAGCAAATCAGCATTTTTTTTTTAATTTATTTATGTGTGCTTTTCAGAAATGACAGAAAAAATAGTCCCTTGCGCATCCAAATCATCTGTAAAAGTCCAATATAAAAAAATGTCTCACACACTAATCAAACTCGCATGATGACTAATTTTTATTTGCAACATTTCGGTCTTCTTCAAGCCGGAGCGAAACAAGTAACTAAGAGCTGGAGGAAGGACAACCAACCAAACCTTGCAAATAAAATGTCGCGGTGATTTAAAGGGACAGTTCGCCCAAAAATGATAATTCTGTCATCCTTTACTCACATCTCTACTTCTAGTAGCCTATACTAACCTGGTCTAAAGTGTGCTAAACTGGAAGTAGTGCTGAAGTATTGTGCTAAAGTGGAACTACTGCAAGTATACTTCAGGTACACTTTAAGTATATTGCATTTAAAGACCATACAGTCCTCATTAATAGTGACATTAAAACACAACTTAGGCTTAATATTAAGAAATGTGCATAAGTAGTACTCCAAATAAAGTTTAATTATTATTTGTAAATATATTACGTTTTACTAGGGTAAATTTCTACATATGCCATGCCATAGCATCATTAAACTAACATCTAACAATGGATAAGTGTTTTTCTTTGCCCTCAGTCTCTGACTCCAGAAAGGAATTTGCCCCGACATTTAAAGAATTTAGAAGCATTTAAATAATCCTGTGAATGCACTTAAAGAATGCAGAATCAAACCGCATCGAATTTTATTGTGAATCGTTCTGAATTAGCAAAAATCGTTTTGAATCGAATCGAAACCCTATGAATCTTGAATCACGAATTGATTCGCTGTTTACCCAAAGATTCACAGCCCGAACATTAAGCGTTTTCTAACGGGTAACTAAACTAAACTAGAATTGGGCTGCTTTTAAATTAGACACACACAGAGAGAGAGAGAGAGAGAGACGGAGAGAAGAGAGAAGAGAGAAGGACATCATGTCCTTTTTCCTTTGCTTAAAAAGGACATGATGAATTTAAAACAAAGAGAGAGAGAGAGAGGCTGTGTATGTATGAATTACCACCGTTTTGCCGCGTTTCTCTATTAACAAAACAATGTTGATGTTAATAGAGAAACAATGTGTGAGAAACAATGATGCTACCAGCTCCTTGTTGAGAAAGATAATGTAGCTCTTGAGCGATTAAGCTATTTTATTGATAAAACTACGGGGCAGCGCTAAAACGTTTGTGCGCGCGCGCAACGTGATCTGTGTGACTAAAATCGTGTGTGCGTGAGATACAGTGAAGACAGCACATTAGTTTAGAACTCTTCAAATTGTTATTTTTTTAAATGTAGAAATTGTGTTAATTTGTGCAATGATAACCTAACAGCAATGTAAAGATGAGTTTTTAAATATATTATTATGAGTACATTACAATATAAATGTATTAGAACGAGTACATTATTATTTATGGGCTTAAAAACAAGATGCAAACAATCAGAATATTGTACCTGGTGGGGAGTGCACAATGTAAACATGAAACATATGCCATTACCTATACTGTACTGTGGTACAGTTATGGAGGCCCTTCATAATGCAGAGGTCAGCTGCCTGCTCTGCCAATAGTTAGAAATGGCACTATAGTGTTTAATAAACAGCTGTTTTACTAAATTCTGCTGAAATGAAATTCAGTGCAGTCCTGTATCGTGATACGTATCGTATCGTGACTTTGCTGGTGATACACAGCCCTAGTTACAAGCGCTATATAAATAAAGGTGACTTGACTTAATAAACACTAATGTGTCATGAATGCACACTATTTTTAAAATGTCTATTTAATCAAATCAAAACTGCAGTTTTTGTTAAAAATGAGACATTTTTGTTTTCATGCCCGATTTTACTTGCTGAGATCATTTTCTGTCAGTATGTTTCATGTTGAACTTCCATTAAAAAGTGTTACTACATTTATAAAAGCAAGACAGCAAAACAACCACAACATTTACATGGATTTACATTTTATTTATGCACAAGGCCATAATATCAACTCAATTCTGAGGCCATTTCAATCTGATAAAGAGGGAAAATCCACATAATTTACAAACTTTGCCGAATGAATGCATTAAGATCCATCTGGTTATGAGTTATTTTCCAGCCTGAGCGATAAGTTCAGATCTCTGGGAGATTAATCAGTGATTATAAATGACAGAAAACTAACACAGGCCTCATCAACCATCCATAATGATGCATAAATCACAAAAATAAATCTATTCTAACAAAAGGAACACATAATCCATGAACTGAGCAAAACATGTTTAGTATTAAACAAGAAGCCATAGAAATATGTGGGTTAATGAGCTCATCATCAAGTAATATCCTGAGAAATATTGATTCACAATGGCTTTTTACAAAGATTGTACAAGCTTATGCTATAAATGTGAAAAACGGCCAGTTCTATCCATCATTAGCAGAAAATGAAAGTATTGCTCCATCCACATGATTCAGCTGGAGATATTAATGACTCCAGAATACCCTGCATACTCTCATGTTTACTGTGGTATTGATGAGGTGAAGCAGCACACCTGCAGATGATGTGTTTGTGTTCACAGGTTCACGTCTCATTTCCTCCTCTCTCGGACTGATGAAGATCTTCTCCTCCTCCTCCTCCTCCTCCTCTGGATCACCACACTCGTCTCAGGCTAAATCTTGGTGAAGGACTGCAGGATTACGCTGGGCAAACGTCTCTTCAGCACTAAACACCAAACAGATCTCATATTAAATGATGGCAGCTGTATTTCAGGCTTTCTGAAGCTCAAATTCAAGACTTTTTAAGACCTGCACAAATAAATGTAATACCATATGAGCGGTGTAGGGCAATGTCTATACTCTATAGTAACATATTAAAGCATGTAAAAAGCATGATTTACAGTTCAGATACAAGTTTTCACAAACAAAAAGTTTTATAATATGATACACTTCACATTTCAGCCATTAAACCGTTTTTAAGAAAATGGATGGAGTCAAAAGTATTAATTATATTAATTTAAACAATTATTATCAATAAATTACTATTAATTAAATAGCATATAAATTAGTGCTGTCAAACGATTTTAGTATTTTTACATCCTAACTTAGTTGTTTTATGTTTGTATTTATGTGGTATTAGTGTTCTTATTTCAGTTAGCTTTAAGCCTCAATATTTTAAAAATAAATAAAAAAGTTTCAAATATATTAAAAATTTAGTTCTGGGCAACAAATAATTGCAATTAATCGCATCCAAAATAAAAGTTTTTGTTTACATAATATGTGTGTGTGTAGTGTGTATATTTATTATGTATATATAAATACACACTCATTTAGTTTATATTTAGATGTATATATTTATATTCATATAATTAAATTTACGTATATACAAATATATTTAATATATAAACATAACATATTTTTAACATAACATATATACATGCATGTGTGTGTATTTATACATACATAATAAATATACACAGTGCACACACATAGTATGTAAACAAAAACTTGTATTTTGGATGCGATTAATCGCGATTAATCGTTTGACAGCCCTAATATAAATACATTTTACTGTTTAGATTTTTATAATGCATTATCGTCTCATTGATCCACCAGTTCACATTTACAGCTCTGCGTGTTTGCAGGGTAAAAACATGGGTCGATTCTCACATTGGTCTGAACAAAAACAGCAGACGGGCTTATAGACGGTTTCATCGGTCGCATGCGCATGGCCCAAAGTGTGTACAGCTGTTACCGGGGAAACCTCGATCTCTGCCGCTCTAAAAGCACCTCCTGCTGGCAGAGAGTGAATTTGCATTTTTAATAAGCCCGTCTGATATATGCAGCAAACATATTTTGCTTATCAGAAGTAATCTACTCTAGAGGAACTTTGCTGCCGTTACTGATTCTTTGCAGAAGTCTACCAGAAGTTACGTTTGGGCCACAAAAGCGTGCATGCGCAGTAACGTTTGTTTATGCTGTTGGTGTGGAAACAGTCTATTGAAAATGCACATTCATTATCTGCCAGCAGGAGGCGCTTTCGGAACGGCAGAAACATAGTGGTTTCAACGGTAACAGCAGTAAACATCGGACTTCGCTTATGTTTATTCAATGAAATCATAGCCTTTTGAAGTTTATTCATCACATTCAGCCATTTCGCAATTCTGGTCTTTCCATCCCCAAATTTAAGACCTCCTGAAATCATAATTAAGACTTTCTTGTACAATTTAACATTTTATGGCCTTAAAATGTGAGTCTTTTTAAGGACTTGTGGGTCACTATGTCTGTAGCACAAGCCTCATCCGCTCCTGTTAGTGTCGTTCACACTGGAAACGCTCGATTCATCATGAGCTCACCTGACTGACTGTGTGCACGCGTCTCTGAAGGGCTTCTGGGTAATGAAGGAGCTGCTGTTTTCTGTTGTAATTCTGTTCCTGTCACTGGAAGAGTCATAAAAACACGTTAGTTCAACCCTATAAAGCTGCTGTATCACACTCCATCTCCTCATGTCTTCTGTCGTCTGATTGATAGTTTAGAGTGTTTTATCCAGTCACAGCTCTTTTAGTGTAACTGTACAAACGTCCAGCTTCAGCTCAAGCTTCTCGTGTCAAATCTGTTTTATCAAGTAAGCGTCAGAATAACTGCAGTAATATCTCCAGATGAACACTTACTGGACTGAAGCAGCTCAGCTTTACTTGATTCTCCATCAGTCATGTTTTAGAGTCTCAAATCTGATCCTCAGGATCTTTTGAGGAGCGTTTGTTTCCAGAAGCTTTACTTTCACTGTTTTATGTCAGTATCTGCTGTACTGTTACTCATTGATTTACATTAAAAGCAGCAGAATTTCATCATAGAAATATTAGCATCTGCAGCAAATTCATATTTTTGTTCACTTTGAGCAAATTGAGCTGTTTTTTTCTCCATATTCTTACTATATCAGACTACATATATGAGCCACAAAACCCTGATGCTCGACAAAAAAACACATATGCAGTTTTTATGATATATTTTTTTTTAATATTTTGTCTATAGGTTCAATAAACTAATTTCCATTTCAAAATATTGGATTTTTCTTACTATTATTTTCACATGTCAGGGTTAAGATCCCTACATACACACACACACTCTCTCTCACTCTCACACTCACACACACACACACAGACACACGTATGGTGTGTAACGGTCATGATTTACCGTCTGCACCAGAGCGCTGTGAGATCAGAGTCTGATAATGAGAATGCTGCCGAATCAAGGCCCGTTTCTTGGCCATCAGAGATGTGCTGTGCTCCTCAAGAGCTCCGATCATCTGACGAGCCTGAGACAGAGCAGGAACATGTCAATGAAGCTGAAGTGTCCTGCAGAGATCTGAGGAGAAGCAGTGGGTTTAGCCGCACCTCTCGGAGCAGGTCTTGAGTGCTCATCATGACGTCTTCTTCAACACCCAGCATCCTCTTCAGCGAGTCCAAACTCTGCTGTAGTTCAGCGAGCTGCTTCCGTTCTCTCAGCGTTCGGTTCAGACACCACGTTCGCTTATACAGCGGCAGATCAGACATCAGCCGCACTGCATGATGGGCCGCTGATTTACATTTCAGCTGCAAAAAACATGACGATCAGGTTTTCACTGAACACAACAGGTTAAATATGCTGTATCTAGTGAATCAATTGTTTTTGCACATTATTTTTGCTTTTCACCTCATAATACTTCAGTGAGCAAAACAAACTCGACGGAGGTAAAGAAAGAACAGAGACTTACAAGCCATTGACTCTGAGCTGCTTGCTGTGTTCTCCTGCAGAGAGGAGAGATGTTTACTGAATAAAGCAGCGTTTCAGTGTGAATCTGAGATGCTTTCAGCTCAGGACTCACCGTCTCGCCTTGGCTCTTAAGAGGCTGATGTTCATCTTCTCATCGTACTCCTCATACGTCACAATGTCCACCTCCTCCTCACTGTACCAATCATTCTAGCATCGAAACACAGCACAATCTGAGAATAGTGATTCAAACGGACTTTCTTCTTCAGGACGATTCGATTAAAGGGTGATATTAGGGCTGGGGATTGAGACTAGTTTCATGATTTGATTTAGATTCACATCTCAATTTGATTCATTTGAATAAATATGCATTCAGTTAATCATAATATTACAATGTGCAATTGCACCTAAGGCAGTTTTTATAATAAAAATGCATTATAAGTTTTTAATGATAGAATTGTTTTTATATGTTACTGAAGTTATGATATCAGTGGATGTCATGACTTCTTCTCATGACAGATTTATTCAAACCTACACTAGCGCTCAAAAGTGTGGGATCAGTAAGACTTGTAATGTTTTTAAAGAAGTCTCTTCTGCTCATCAAGGCTGCATTTATTTGATCAAAAATACAGAAAAAAACAGTAATCTTGCAAAATGTTATTACAATATAAAATAATGGTTTCTATTTTAATATCCTTTAAAATATAATGTATTTCTGTGATGCGCAGCTGTATTTCCATCATCATTACTCCAGTATAAAGCGTCACATGATCTTCAGAAATCATTATAATATGCTGATTTATTATTAGAATTATTATCAGTTGTGCTGCACAATATTTTTTTGGAAACTGCGATACTTTGTTCAGGATTCTTTGATGAATAAAAAGTTAAAAAGAACAGCATTTATTCTAAATATAAATCTTTTCTAGCAATATAAATCTTTGCTATCACTTCTTATCAATTTAACACATCCTTGCTGAATAAAAGTTTTAATT